TCCCTAGCCACAATGCCTGTTGCTTAATTAAACAGAAGGAGGCAGATGCTAAGAGCCACAGCCAAGTAATATGATGCATGGCACTTTTGGTTATAAGGTGACGCCAGCTAGCCATTGAGATGATATGATTATGTTAAGATTTGCATTCATATGGTTATTGGACTCCTGCGGTTCACCTCAGCCTGCTTCGGGACTCCTTCAGGAGAGTTCCATTGGTTGGGGAAGTACAGTAGGAGGGAATTCCGGGGGAGAAACTTGTTCCCGGTTCCGGGAGAATGCCGCCACGTGGGTGGGCCGGCTTCTTCCCTGAGGTGTACGGGGTATTGGTGGCATTTTCAAAAATATAGTTTGTTCCTGCTTGAGTGGCTCGTGATTTTGTGCCCAGCCAGACTGTGGCACTACTGGATACAGGTGCAGACTTTAGCATCATCTCCTGTCAAGAATGGCCAAAACATTGGCTGTTACAACAAGCCACTCAAATGCTTTGAGGCCTAGGAGTGGTGACTAATCCCCATAGAAGTGCAATGGAAGGATACTGAAGGATGTGAAGGAACTATACAGCCATATGAATTGGATCATCTGCCTATAAATTTATGGGAATGAGATTCCTAGATCAAATAGGACTAATATTAACAAATAACATCAATCCAAATGCCCCCACTATTAGGGCTACACAAGGTTTTAGAAAAGGAAAAAGATTAGGAGAACAAGAACAAGGTATAGCAGCACCAATACAAATAGATCAAGGAACAGACAGACATGGATTGGATTTTCAGAAGTGGTCACTGAGACAATAAAAATTACTTGGAAATCAGAAAGACCAGTATGGGTTCGTCAGTGGCCCCTGACTAAAGAAAAGATACAAGCAGCCCATGACCTGGTCAAACAACAATTATCAGAAGGACATATACAACCTTCTGTATCTCCACATACTACTCCCATTTTGTCATAAAAAAGAAATCTGGTAAATGGAGATTATTGCAAGATTTAAGAGCCATTAATAATGAGATGGTTATTATGGGACCTACTCAATCGGGGATTCCTGAATTGTCTGCTTTGCCAAAAACCTGGTATGTTTTAGTTATAGACATTAAAGATTGTTTTTTTTTCAATTCCAATTCATCCTGAAGATAGTCCATGTTTTGCATTTACTATCCCTGCACTGAATCATGAAGGTCCTGATCAGAGATATAAATGGAAAGTACTCCCTCAAGGGATGGCTAATAGCCCAACTATGTGTCAAATTTATGTTAACAAAGCAATCTAGCCACTTAGAAATCAAAATCCTGAACTACAAATATTTCACTATATGGATGATGTATTATTAGCACAAAGATAAAAACACATTGCTAGAATGTTATGCCACACTTACAAATTTATTAAAAATTATAATCTAGAGATAGCAATAGATAAAGTACAATTAAATTTTCCAATTAATTATTTACAAATTCTATTATCCTCAACCATGGTCTGCCCACCAATAATTCAAATATGAATAGATGAACTCAAATCACTTTACAACTTTCAAAAGTTATTAGGAGACATAAATTGGATAAGGCTTTATCTAGGCATACCAACAAGAGAGTTGGAACCTTTATTTGATATCCTAAATGGTCCATCAGATCAAAATTCACCCTGCATGTTAATGCCTGAAGCAAGAAAGGCATTAAAAATCATTGAAACATATATGGTAAATATGCATTTGGATAGAATTGATGTAACTTTGCCTTTATTATTTATTGTACTACCAACAAAAAATATTCCTACAGGAGTATTTTGGCAAGAAGGTCCATTATTTTGGATACATTTATCTTATTCTCCTAACTCTATTCTTACTAGATATCCTGAGGCTGTAGGACAATTAATACTCAAAGGAATAAAAGCAGCAAAGGGAGTGTTTGGAATTTCTTCCAATAAAATTATTACTCCATATACTATGAATCAAATTGATGAGTAGCTAATAAGTTAAAATACTCAGCAATAATTATGTGCAAATCTAATGTTTCATTTGATAACCACTTACCATCTAATCCTTTATTGTCTTTTTGGTCATTGCATTCTGTAATTTTTCCAAAAATGACAAGTAAAACACCTATTATGAATTCTCCAAATATATTCACTGATGGGTCAAATAATAGTACAGCAGCAATAGTTACCCCTGATCAAACTGTAACATTTTTAGTACCAAACAATCAACTCAACAGATAGAGCTTAATGCAGTATTACAAGGTTTTGTGATGTTTAAAGATTCTGTATTTTATTTATTTTCCGATAGTCAGTATATAGTTAATGCTATAGTATCCCTTGAAGACGCTGGTAGTATTTCCCCTTTCTCTACTGTTTTCTCTTTGCTTTCCACTATACAAAGTCTAATCTGAGACAGAAAAGATCCATTCTTTATAGGACATATCAGGGCATATACAGGATTGCCTGGAGCCCTTAGTTTGGGCAATGATTTAGCAGATAATACTACACATGACATACATATTTTCTCTACACTAGAAGAAGCTACAAATTTTCATAGAAAGTTCCATGTCAATGCTAATATTTTACAAAAGCATTTTAAAATAACTAAGGAACAAGCTAGACAAATAGTAAAACAATGTCAAAATTGGGTGACATTTTTACCACAAGTTAATCTTGGAGTCAATCCTAGACGACTGATACCTAACCATATTTGGCAGATGGACATCACACACTTGCCAGAATTTGGAAAATTAAAATATTGACATATTACAATTGATATTTCTTATGGGCTTTTGATGGGCTCCCTTCATCCCAGAGAAAAAACTAAAGATGTTATAGTTCATTGCTTACAAAATTTTGCCACTGTGGGTGTTCCAAAACAGTTAAAAACAGATAATGCCCCTGGTTATACTTCTACCTTTTTTAAACTATTTTGCTCATTATTTGGCATTACTCATTTAACAGAAATCCCATACAATCCACAGGGACAAGGCATGGTTGAAAGAGCTCATCAAACTATTAAAATGTACTTATTAAAGCAAAAACAGGGAATTGAAAAGGGGTATATATTCCCCAAAGATAAACTTAAATAACCCTTTTTACTCTAAACTTTTAAAATTTGGATTCATCAGGGCTTAGTGCTGTGGAAAGTCATATGTGTCCAAAAAATGTACATAAACCCAAGGTACTTTGGAAGGATATTCTAACAGGACAATGGAAAGGTCCTGACCCAGTTATTGTCTGGAGTCGGGGGTCTGTTTATGTGTTTCCACAGGGAGAACAGCAGTCGATTTGTATTCCAGAGAGATTAACTAAATTGATTTCTACAAACCAAAAAGAAGATGATTTGACACATATCCATAACAGCTGATATTCAGAACTCCAGTTTGGCTATCCTTATGTCTTCGAGAGAACCAGGATGCTTTTTTCAATATCTATTTTATTATTGCCCTTTCCCACATCATGAAGTTCTATTTTGTTTTTTGAGCTCATACAGAGCTAGGTTAATGTTTTGCTGAGCAGTTCTATTTTTTTACTATAGAGTTTTTAAACATTGCAATGGAGATTTCACCTGTAAAAAGTTATAAGGCCTTTACTATGATGTTATGTGTTGTATGTATTATATTATGTGTGCACATTTGTGTTTTGTGTTGTATGTTTGTATGTGTGTATGTCCATATATCATATATGATAAGCGCTCATGAAAAACTGGATCCAAATTTTTTATTTTATTCACGTGATTTAAATGGTTTAATTTAAATTGGGAAAACAGCTGTTGAGGATTATTTTAATATGTGAACAAAAAAGGAGGTTAACAGATCTGTTTGTTTACTTTCACCTTTCCTTTTCATTATATTTAATAATTCTGTTCAAGATAAGGTAAATTGTTCAGAAAATTGTTTTCTTTTAGTGCCTTCTGGAATGTTATATAATTTTTCTTTAGCCATTATCACCAGAATTCCTATCTTCATCCCAGTGCCAGTGAAGACAAAGATAAAACCAATCCATATCTTCTGCAATAGCTATCACTGAACTGCTTGCAGAACTTGCCTGGATTATGTATCACTTGTATGCATTGTGAACTCACTTGTATGCATTGTGAACTATCTGTTGGTGCAGTGACTTGTGGTAGTGTTGGGGTATTTTTTCTGATGGTGTCATCAGTGGTAAAATTTTTCCAATTGGCTTGGTGTATCCTCCTCCCTTCTGCTTGTGATGGTTGTTCAGATAAAATTTGGGGCCAACAGAGGTTAGGCAAAGAACCTCACTTCCCTGCTGGTACAAAGACCTATCCCCAGGTGTGGCTGTATGCTGGACTGGTAGTCAATTAAGGGTAAGATCCAATTGCAATGGTACCAATCTAAGACAGTAGGCTTTGGCCTTGAGGTCAGCTCATCTGATGACGGGTAAGGACCACATGTAGTATTGGACAACCTAAGTCAGGCACGGTCCCTAAACCACATGCTTGTTGTTTAAACAGAGAGGGGGAGATGTTGAGAGTCACAGCCAAAGGGGCCCCAGCAAACTTCCAGCTGCCAGCAAACTTCCTACTGCCAGCTGATGATTGGCTCACAGTGGCCCCAGCAAACTTCCAGCTGCCAGCTGATGATTGGCTCATAGCGGCCCCAGCAAACTTCTAGCTGCCAGCTGATTGGCTTCTCTGAAGTGATGCTCATTGGGCTGTTTCCCCGCCCTTTCAGACCACAGAGCCTCTCATTGGGGGACTTTTTTTGGCTCTGCCCATGCGACCCAGCCAATGGCCTCAAGAGCAGGAGGATTTGGTGGGGGTGGTGAGGCTTGTGGGAAGCCAGTGGTGACAGATGGGCTCTGAGGGAATTACTGAAGAGCTTGTGTGTGTGGCATTCGTGTTCTAAAAATAAAGTTCGTTTCTGCTTGATAAGTGGCTCATGAATTGTGCCCAGCCAGACTGCGGCAGAGGCTGCAGGCTCTGGTCACTTTGGAGAAGAAAAAACTTGTTTGCTTCAAGTTGTAGCTCCCTGCCACCTGGTAGAGTGGATAATCCAGAGGCAGAGTGATGGAGAAACAGCTTTATTAACAAGAACCATGCACTGTTGGAAAATTGTTGGCTCTGACCTTCAATCTTATCCCTTGACCTAAGGGAGTTTGGGGTTATTATTTTTGTTGTTTTTGCTACTGGGGATTGAACTCAGTGGTGCTACACCCCCAGCCCTTTCTATCTTTTATTTTGAGACAGGGTCTTGCTAAGCTGCCCAGGTTGGTCCCAAACTTGCAATCACCCTGCCTCGGCCTCCTCAGTTGCTGAGATTACAGGTGTGTGGCACTGCACCTGGCAGAAGAACCTTTTATGATATTTCCAGGGAAGGTCAATGGGTCCCAGACAGGTGGGTGTCTCAGTTGTCCAGTATTTCAGGAAGTAGCCTCCTCTGACATGTGGGTTATATACATCTTATCTCGTTCACCCAAGTCAGTGAGAGTTGTGGCCAGTGGATCTGAGAAAGACATAAATGATCAATGTTTCTGTGTTCATTAGTGAGTTGTGAGACGAGTGTGGTGGTGCATGCTCAACCCCAGCTATTCAGGAGGCTGAGGCAGGAGGATCACAGGTTTGAACCCAGCCTGAGCAATTTAATGAGATCCTGTCTCAAAATTTAAAAAAAAAATGTTAAGAAGGCTGGGATGTAACTTAGTTGTTGAGTGCTTCCTTAGCAAGTCTGAAGTCCTGGGTTTAAGTATCAAAAAATTAAAAAAATAAGTGACGTGTGCCTGATTTTTGTTGTGTTGTGGCAGTATTTTCAGCCAGCACCCTTCTAGGTGTGATCTTTTCCCATAACTTGGGACTAGAGAGTGCTGGGTTTGGTGACTTCCTACCAAACGTTAGTGTGCATTGAATCTTCAAAGATAGCCCTTAGTGGCAGTTCATCCTTTAAAAAAAGCAGATAGGATCAAAGAGAGACTTATGAAAACTGGGTCTATATTGGTGAAGGGGAATAAAGTGCGCTTTCAGTGTCACCTTCCAGCAAAGAGCTACCACTGTCCCTACCCTACCCAGGCCTCTTCCTCCCAATCTTTCAAAATACTGCAAAGCACAATGGTGGAGCAGAGTTCTGTGTGGACAGCAGCCACACCTGTCCACACCAGAGCTGGGAGAATAACAGAAGGACAGGTCAAGGTCAAATACAATGACCAAGTGACCTGGACAGAGCCCATAGGTCACTATTATAACCTGAAGCTTCCTGACTGCCATGGTGTACAGGTGCCACAGGTGTTGGAGAGGGTGGGCACCTCCAGCATATTGCAAAGGCAGAAGTCTGTCCAGGGCTCGGCCATGCAGGAGGACCGTTCTCCTCACATCCTGGTTTCTACGGCACCTGTCAGGTGCTTTCTGGAGGAAGCCTGGGAGCAGTAGGCAAGCTGGCTCATGCCCACCTCACCTTTGTCACTGTGGTCCAGCCTGGGCCAGAAGGGGAGGACCCGGATATAGGAGGACGTGCAGAACTTGGTGCCAATGCCCCAGGGAAAGTCATAAACCTCCGAAGACTTCAGAGTAGTCTCCTTGGAATTCTCCTGGACTTCATTCCATACCAGGATGCCTCGCTCCTCCAGGCTTCCTAATGTAGGACAGGAGAAGTCAAGAGTGGGTCCTGAAGGCAGAGGCAGACAGGGCAGAGGGAGGCTCTGGTGGCCACATGCTAGGACCTGTGGCCTCCACTCAGCACCCTGGTGCACATGCCCCCACTGACACCTCCTCCTCCATCTCGTCCCCTCTTCCTCTGCCTCCATCTACTCCTCTTCTCCTTCCTCCTCCTTCTCCTCCAAGCCCAGCTCAAGAATCAGAGCTCAGCTCTGCAGGAATCCTCTGAGGCTTACAAGGAGCCCAGCACAGCCATGTGGAACCCCCCTTTCCAAACCTGTCCTCACTTGAATGTGGGTGGAATATACAGATGCACTTCACACTTGGTGGACAGTCACCGGGTGAAATAAAATACCATGAAGCAGGTGCTACCACAAGGGTCCCCAGAAGTGGCTGAGGGAGG